GAGGGGGAGGGGGAGGGAGGGAAGAGAGCTGTACTAGCAAAGGCTAGACCTGAGACAGCCTCAAGAGAGAACTAGAGATGGATCTTTTCAGAAATGGAGCATGGGAAGAGGCGAGGAAGCAGGCCCAGCTGCCCTGTGGTAGGAGATCTCCCAGCCTAGGGGCCCAGCTACCCTGCGGTAGGAGATCTCCCAGCCTAGGGGCCCAGCTGCCCTGTGGTAGGAGATCTCCCAGCCTAGGGGCCCAGCTGCCCTGTGGTAGGAGGAGCAGATAGGGCCAGGCCTGAATCTACATTCTGAGGGAGGAACAGGCCTCAGGCAGGACTCTGGTGAGGGAAGAAAAGGCCCAGGAAAGTCACCTCCCTGCTGTGGAATGCCTTGAGACTGAACAGGTGCTGTAAGGTACTGAGATCCACTCACCAGTGTGGGAGCCTAAGCCTGGACACTCCCAGTCGAGGTGGTCTGGTGTGTGGAGACACCTAGATCTCTCTGGACTCTCTCCATCACTGTCTCCCCTCCCTACCCCTGCCCTGTCCACACCCACCAGCCTTACTTTGTAGGTGAGCTGCTCAGAGCCCACGGAGGGAGCACCCACAGCCAGGTCAGGCAGCCCGTCCTTGTTAAAGTCCAGCACGGCCAAGGCTGAGCCAAAGCGACCTGAGGGCTGAAGAGGCACCAGTTACTTCTGTGGACTAAGCATGGACTACAGAAAAGAAAGGGCAACCAGACTCCCACTGTTCAGTGCCTGGGACCCACCCACCATGCACAGGCTGAGCCCAAAGCTTCCAGGTCCTGCAGCACATCTGGGACACAGCTGGGTAGCTCTGCCCTAGGGGGCTTTGAGCAAGTCTGTCTGTCTGTCTGTCTGTCTGTAGAGATGTGATGTGAGGTAACAGAAAGCAGAGGGTCAAGTCTGGGGAGATGTAGGTCTACAGAGATGGTCTCAACACACACTGAAGCAGTGTGTGTGTGTGTGTGTGTGTGTGTGTGTGTGTGTACTGCTAGAGTCTGAACTGCAGGTCTTGAGCATGCCAGGCAGGTACTCTACCACTGAGGGACATCCCCAGCCCTTTTTAGAATTTTTCATTTGAGACAGACTCTCTCTAAATTGCCCAAGCTGGCCTTGAACTCACTCTGCAGCCAAGGTGGGCCTTGAACTTGCAATTCTCCTGCCTTAGCTTCCTAAGTAGCTGCGCCAACAGGCCCACACCACCAGGCCCAGCTGAAAAGAGTCTAAAATGCCAGTCACACGGCACCTGCAACAGCAGCAGCAGCTGACATCCATGGAACACACATGATGTGGCAGAGCCACACTGTCTCATGTGTTGGTCCAGGATGATTACTACCTTTAAATTTAAAGTAATTAACATGAAACTCCAGTCTCAGCTGCACTGGCCGTGTCTCCCACACATGGGAGCCCTTGTTCAGTGACTCCCACACCGCAGAGCACAGCCGAGGAGCCTTTGCTTTGCAGCAGGAAGGACTGCTGACCTCCGCATGGATTAGAGCAGGGCTACTGTTACTGCTCACCCCACTTCAACACAAGTGGAAAGGTGTTTCTATTCCGATACAATTTGCTTCCAAGGTAAATTCTATGTTGTACACTTTTCTTCTATCTACGATCAGCATAGGCCTCACTCATCAGCCTGTTTCTTTCAGGCCTCACTTCACAGAGAGGCATCTGGTACGTGTGAGGTGCACCTGGCCCAGTGCCCTGTCTATTTATCCATTGGCTCACTCCTACAATGTGTGTATAATCGTATCTGCATCATCCAGCTCCTTCCGATGAACCAGGAACTTGACAAAGGAGCAACAGGACTGCTCTGGGATATGATGCATGTTATGGCTGGGTGGGGACCAGTGATGAGCTGAGCCCTGCCCTCCGCAGACCGGCTGTGTCATCAACAGCAGCCATGTGAGGCCCTGGGGAGGGTTAGTCAGTGGGTCACAGAGAACCACAGCACGTCTTTGAGACAGAAATTCCAGTTCTCCACCATAGCCAGGGACACTAGAAGCTCATGGTGACCCAGGGCCAGGCACCAGCTTCCTGAGCCCAGATGGTCATCCTCTGGTTATCTTCTGAATGGCCAAAGGTCACAGTGGAGGAGGGTATAGAAAGCCAAAGTGTGCCCCTTCCATGTGGACTTTCAGAGTTTATCACTCAGAAGCCACTGCCCAGAGCATTAGACATTGCCTGCCTCTGACAGGGATGGCTTTGCAAAGAGGCAGGAATGGCTGGATTTATTTTACATATTTTTCACATGGCGTCAGACGGCGCCAGAAAATGGGGCAGCCTTTTGGGTGTGGCTGCACATACTGGCCAGGCAACTGATGTCCATGGGCAGGATCAGGACTGATTTCATCAGAGCCTAAACTAGGTCAGCATGGAAACTCCTTGGCCTCCTAACCTTTTTCTGTAGACAAGTGTGCTGACTTCTTTTCTCTCCACAGCATTAGCTGGCAATGGAGAAGTGACTTGTCCAGACAGACAGACAGACAGACATCATCGAACCCCAAAATCTGGGTTCCTAATCCCAGATCCATGACACTCAGAGGTATAGGGCCAGGTTTGTGCCACCAATGCCTTTTGATCCCCTGCGAGACCCCTAACCATCACACACACACACACACACACACACGCACGCACGCACGCACGCACGCACGCACGCATGCTGGAACAGCTGATGCCTCCCGCGCACTGGGACACACACACACACACACACACACGCACGCACGCACGCACGCACGCACGCTGGAACAGCTGATGCCTCCCGCGCACTGAGCCCTCGGGGATCCTCAGTCCCAAGAGGAATGAACACTCAAGCTCTGTAACAAACATGGAAGGTGACTGGATTATTCCTAGCGATGAAAAGCTGCTCAGTGAAATCTCTGCAAATCCTGTCGCTCAGAGCCACTCCTACTGTGGCCTTTGACTGTGAGAAGCATTCCATAAGATGGTCACATGAGGGAAAAACTGTGTGAAGGGTGCATGGGAACTCTGTCTTTACCCCTGTGCTGTATTAGCAAGAAATCACATCCCCTCACACCTGCAGTCCCTGAACTTGTAAGGCTGAGGCAGGAGGATTACTGTGGAGTTCAAGGCCAGCTTGGCCGGCATAGCTTAGCCTACATAGCAAGCCTTTCTTACAGTCACAGACTGAGATAGATGCTGTGAAGACCGCTCTGAAGGGGAAGGCTGCACCCAGTGGGCCGCCAGCTTCTTGCCATGATAATGACTCTTCCTACTGCTGACTCAGCAGGAAGAGCTTGACCTGGTATGTGCTGGTTAGGAATTGGGGTGCGGCCTGGCAGTATGGCACTGAGTTCACCAGTGAAGGGCCAGGGTGACTCAGTGATAGAAAATTGGCCTAGACTCCCCAGTGAGGGGCAGGGGGTGCGGCACAGTGGGACAGCACTTGCCTAGAGTCCGGCAGTAAGAGGCCCCAGTGTGGCTCAGCAGTAAAGGCAAAGTGCCCACCTAGAATTTGCCAATGAGGAGCCAGGGGTGAAGCTCAGTGGTAGAAAACTGACCTAGAATCCCCAGTGAGGAGCTGGGGGTGCGGCACAGTGGGACAGCACTTGCCTGGCATGCATGAGGCTCTGGGTTCAATCCCTAGCACCAGGAAAATGAAAACAGAGTGAAATGCCAGCAGTGGCCCCCAAGAGGAAAGAGGAGAGGAAGGTCTCACCTGGAAACCCTCCAGGATCCAATGGGCCTCCTTGTCTAGGTCCAGGTCAATGGGGGGCAGGCCCAGGTCATTGCCGTAGATGACATACACACGTCCCATCTGGAAGTGGCCCGGATGGCTGTAGCCTGGTGCACCTACCACGAGGTCACTGTGTCCATCCTGGTTGAGGTCAGCTGAGACCATTGCCCTTAGGGAAAAGGAGGCTGAGTGGCTCAGTATCACGGCCTGCCCCGGCTCCTCTAGAACCCAGCAGTTTAGCCTTTCCAGGTTGACTATGTTCTTCACGACTGCTGTGAATATTCACTTGGGGGCTGCACCTTAGTGCGATCCAGTCTCCCTCTCCAGATGGAAGTCTCTGAGGAGCAGCGGATGAGCAGCTTTGCAAAAGCATCTGTGCTGTGAGCAGCTGCTATGATCCTGAGTTAGGCAGCTCTGTCCAGTGTTCCTAATCAAATACATGATTTCTTTCTACACTAGCTACACAGCCCAGCTTTGATGTCATTGAACTAAGTATCCAACATTTATTGTGTGAACTGAGATTCCTAGGAAAAAGGTCATACCTATGTTAAAGATTCTACAAGGTTGACCTATTAGAAGTCTGAGATTGCAGAGAGCTGGAATGTTGCAGACCCAGAGCCAGATTGTCTAGGCTGTCAGCTCCCTTAACAACCAGTCACTGCCCACCAGTGCATCTCACCTAACTTGTGACTACCAGGTAAATCCTTTTATGATGTATTAGCAGACCTCTACCTTCCATCAACTCAAAAGCTAGAGTTGCCCTCAGACAGCATCTGTGGCCTATGGCCAAGACCTCCCTACTCTGTGGTGACCACCTGCTTGATGTCCCCACCAGTATGTAATTAGAGTGCCTTGATTTATGACTTTGTTATGTTACTATAAAACTACTTGAGGGGCTGGAGAGATGGCCCAGCGGTTAAGAGCACTGACTGCTCTTACAGAGGACCTGGGTTCGATTCCCAGCGCCCACATGGCGGCTACAAACCGTCCTTAACTCCAGTTCCAGGGGAATCCGAAGCCCTCTTCTGACCTCCGCGGCATTGCACGACATGGGTGCACTCACATACATGCAGGAAATACACTCATACACATAAAATAAAAATAATAAATAAAATATTTTTTTAAAAACTCCTTGAAACAGTTACCCACATTGGGAACGTGGTATTTGGGATGGCACACTCTGTGTTCCCAGGCTGTGGGCACTCACATTTGGCTCCAGAATAAGCCAGCTCTTGTTCTCTCTGTAATGAGAGCTGCATTTTTGTGCTAACAAGTGAATCCTTCAAAAGGGAACTTGTGACTCTTCGTTACAGAGATGATGGTCAAAGGCTCAACTGCCACTCCCAGGGCTTAGACAACAAAAAGTCACAAATGTTCTGGCTCATAAGGTCATGGTGTGGAAGGCGAGGGGCGGGAGGGCAGAGGGGTGTCTAAGATGCATGATGGGAAGGGCAGCGGTCAGGGCAGGACCCTGTGTCCTCCTCACTCCTGAGGCTATGACCAAGCAGCAGGGAAGGCCCTGGGACTGTGCCTGGAGCCACTTCCCAGAAGAGCCACTGCTCAGGCAGGAATGGCAGCAGGACAGAGCTCATCTCCCACCCCAGCATGCTGGAGCCATCTGTGCCTCCCAAAGGAAGAACATGGGAGACCTTTCTGAGAAGATACAGCAGTGTCACCGAATCACAAGGAGAGTTACTTTTATGCAACTTGCCTCCATTTAAAAATCAAAGAAATCCCTAACTTTCTCTTTATAAAATGATCCTGAGGTCCCAGGCCTTCACCATAAGAAGCAACAGTATTCCAACTGTTCCCACAAACTTACAATGTCAATGTACTAGGGAGGTCTATGGTAATAGACTGCCAATGTGCTGGGGGCCTTGGGGATAGTCTATAAAACACTTAACTGTGTGATTCTTTAGCAGAATGAAAGCTCTTGGTATTTAAATGTATTTAGCCAGCTTTAAGGTGATCCTGAACCTTACAATAGCATAGCCATTAAATCAGTGTTCTTCTGATGATGATTCTTAGAAAATGGGTTCTGATGCAACCAAGACTCTGCTGGACCTGCAGAGGAGACGCCTACAGAGACACTCTGTACCCTCTTCAACTTCAGACTGTCAACCTTCCCAGCATCACATTAGTGTGTTTAACAAACAGGAAGGAACCAAGACTAGACTCACTTCCAAAGAAATGACACAAAAGCCTTCAGCTCTACCCTGTGGAGGGAGCAGACCAAGGATAAAGGACTCTGCCAGATTGGGAAGGGGTCAGGAATCTCATACTACAGACACACACACACACACACACACACACACACACACACACACACACACAACACACAAACCTTTTCTCTTCAAAAGCGTGGGATGTTTAAGATCCCATTTTTCAGCCAGGCATGGTGGCAAATGCCTTTAATCCCAGCACTTGGGAGGCAGAGGCAGGGGGATCTCTGTGAGTTTGAGGCCAGCCTGGTCTACATAGAGAGTTCCAGGCCAGCTGGTGCTACGGGGAGACCCTGTCTCAAAAAGAACCCTCCCAAAAAGAGATCTCATTTTCCTCAGCCTGGACAAAAAATGGAGGCAACTTGGGGCCCAGGCCCACCAGTCCCCAGGAGAGGACAGGTGAACCTAATCTCACAGGTAAATTTACTCATGGTCCAGCCTTTGTCTGGTGGCCTCCAAAACTGTAAAACAGCCACACAGCAGGGGGACTTTAGATCCCCCCTCCCGCCCATTTGACCAAATTTTAAAGAAATCCATTCTTCATTACCAATTCCTGCTTCTTAATTTCTTCTAAATACAGGGAAACCAAGGGTTCTGGACCTCTGTGCTTGGTAACCGCCAACAGAGGCCTTCAGAGCGCTGAAGAATGACTAAATGAAACTAACAGTGTAGACAACACTCCCAAGCCAATGACCTCATCTGTACCAGCCAAGCCTGGAGTAGGGGACCGACAGGAAGTAGGAAGCTGAGGGGCTGGAGATGTGCTTCAGTGACGTCTGAGAGCCAGTGAGCATGGTCCGCAGGTTCCTTTCCAGAGTCTGGTACATAAAGGTCATAGACTCCTGAAATGAAAGGTTATTTCAGACAGATGAAGACAGACAGCATCATCCACAGGAGCCATCAGACTCCTCAGGGATAAAATGAATTCTCACAAGTGCCCAAGAATAACACCTATTCCTATCAACTTAGGACAGCAGAGGGGACCGACGTCGCCCCCTGAGATGGGCTGAGGGACGATGGCAGAGATGGCCTCCTGCAGGGAACAGTCAGCTAGAATTTCCTCCAAGCCACTGGTCAGCATGGTCTGACCCAATGAAAGAATGTTTGTTTTTTGAGATAGGGTCTCACTATGTAGCTCTGACTGGCCTCAAACTCACAGAGATCCACCTCCCTCGCCTCCTGAGAGCTGGCATTCCAGGCATATGTTGCCATGCCCAACCCAATGAAAGGGTCTTTACAGACCAAAGTCTTAGCAAAGACAAGGTTGTTCAATCTAGAGCCGTGCTGTGTTTGTATATGGGTGTGGGTTTTCCCCAAACAAATGAACTGGAACAACACTGGGTTTCCCAAACTCCCTCCAAGCTGAGATGCTGATTATTTGAGTTTTAAGGAACTCAGTAGAAAGAAAGCTCCTGCATGTGTGTGCGGTGTGAAGCCTGTGTGTGTGGTGTGAAGCCTGTGTGCGTGCAGTGAGATGCCTGTGTGCGGTGCAAAGCCTGTGTGCATGCATGTATGGTAAGCACACCATTTATGTGCAATGCCGACAGAAGCCAGAAGAGGGCACTGGATCCCCTGGAACCGGAGTTACAGATGATTGTTATCCATCATGTGGGTGCTGGGAATCAAACCAGCTTGGAATTAAAATATATATATATATTTATTTTTATTTATGTGTATGTATCTGTCACATGTGTGTAGGTACCAGTGGAGGGAAAAAGAGGGTATTGGATGCCCTAGAACTGGGGTTGCAGGAGGTTGTGGCCCACCATGGGGTGCTGAACTGAACTTTGCTCCTCTGCAAGAGTAGCTAGTGCTCTGAACTGCCAAGCTATCTCTCCAGTACAAAGGTTGAATTTTAACTGTCCTTTTTCATTTATTTGTTTTGGAACAGCATCTCACTCTACAGCCCAAGCTGGCCTCAACTCACAGCAGTCCTCCTCCCAGGAGGATCACAACATGCACCACCACGCCAGCTAATTCTGACTGCAGAGACACAAACTCAGGTCACTTTCCATAGACCTCAGTATCCAGGGTCTCCACAAGCAAGCTGTCAGGAAGAATGGCCCATCCTCCTCCATCCATAGCCGCAAGCTCTCACCGGGGTCCAGGAACCTGTGCTGTAGAACACGCCTCTTTCCGTGTAGTTCATGTTTTTCCTTATATCTTTATTTATGGGCACAGTCAAATTCCTGTGAAAATCACTTTTCTGCACTTTTGAGCTGCTGAAGAGGGAGAGGAATGAAACGGTCAAACTGCAGAAGACAACACCCCCACCAAGTTAACAAGTTCATGAATATATACTTCAGTCACTGGCTAAGATATCATAAAGTCAGCATCTGAAAGTTGAAGGGATAAACACAAAACCACAAAACTTTAGGAAAACCTTCATGCCACAAAATCTTTTGGTGAGTGTATTTCCAAGGCTTAAAAGCCTGCCTTATAAAACCTGGTATTTCTGGGGCTGAGGCTGTGGCCTCAGTAGAATGTGTGCTTGGTGTGTGCATGGTTCTGGGTTCAGCTCTCAGCACCAAAAAAGAAGAAAAGAAGTAAGAATTACTAGTGCTTCCTAAAGTCTGAGTTCTATAGTAGGAAGAAAAGGCTTCAAGTGTTTCCTGAATACCAAAACATTAAATATCGGTTACTATTTCCCATACAGGCCAAGCAACAATCCCCTACCAGCTGGGGAAGGCAGGATACAGGCAAACTCATGGGAGACGTTTGCTAGACCCAGTTATCTACCAAATACATTCTCTAATTCAGAGATCTTGAGCTGCCCATAGTGTCACATGCCTGTAACCCAGCATGAGGGCTATAAATGGCAGAGCGGGAACTGGAATGCACACCTATCTGTCTACAGACCCCACGCTCCTACCTCTGGGGGAGACACTTTCTATGAACAATTCTGGATCCACCTACCTGAGGCTGTGGTTTCTGTGGCCGCCACACAAGATGAACAAAGGGTTCTCAGGCAGGTCGCACTCACTGGGAAACAAACAAGGTGGGCATTTTTCTCCTCTCTAAGCATGATTTTGATAGGGAATCAGTGGTGTACACTAAACCACTCTCAAAAGGCCTAAAGGTCCCAAAGACTGGTCATTTGGGACCAAGAGCCCAAGTCTTTCTAGACACGGCATCTCCGCCACCTGTGGCCAGTGGCGGGCACTGCAAACGCATGCCTTCCTCTGCCCTGCCAACTCCTCTGCTGGCTCGCATGCAATCGTGAAGTGTCCAGAGTCTGAAAATGTGACAGGAGCCAGGCCCCAGCCACAGTACTTGCGCCCAGTCACGCCAGCTACAGCAAACAAGTCTGCAGTGCTCAATTTCATTCCCTTAAAACATTCTGCAAATTCAATAGCTACGTAGGAAACTAAGTATCTCTTTTAGAAGTGAAAGACCTTGGAGAATGTAAGGATGACCTCATCCGATGAGGGACCTTCATCCAACTCTGGACAGAAGGATGATGGGAGTGAATGCACACATTGTGGACGACACTCCACTTTGCAGGGAATTTGTAGAGGCCACTGAGGGAGCCTTGGAGAAGTATAAGAGTGTCAAGGCAGGGCAAGCAGTCCGCACCATCCTGTCAAGAGCTTTCTTAGGGCCAGCCCTGTATCCACTCTACCAACTCTGCACCCCACACCCTTCTGGTTTTGGAGTGTTTGTTCATCGTATAATGTGATGGGTTTCATGTGACATTTTAATTCCCATATATCATGACTATAAGCACCACCCCAATACCCTCTCCCATGCACTTCCCCACTGACCCCCCCCACAAATCCTATTCCTCTTCCCAATAGTACATATGTGTGTGTGTGTGTGTGCATGCATGCACTAGTTTAACATATGAGAGAAAACGTGATATTTGTCTTTCTAGAGCCTGGTTTATTTTGCTTAACATGATGATCCCTAGTTCCATTTTCCTGCAGATGATGTAATTTGGTGGGTTTTTGGTGCTCTGCATAGAAATGCTGCTGTAGGCTGGGCGTAGTAGTGAACGCCTTTAATCAGGAGGCAGAGGCAGATGGCTCTCTGTGAGTTTGAGGCCAGTCTGGTCTCCACAGTGAGTTCCAGGCCAGCCAGGACTACATAACGAAATCTTGTCTCTATATATGTATGAATTTTCTGTTGTCTCTGGAGCCTCCTCTAAATTTCCCTTAAATTTCCATAAATTGTGACCTTTTCCTGTGTGTGTGTGTGTGTGTCCCTTTCCTGTGTGTATGTGTGTCCCTTTCCTCTGTGTGTGTGTGTGTGAGAGAGAGAGAGAGAGAGAGAGACCCTTTCCTGTGTGTGGGGGGGTCCCTTTCCTCTGTGTGTGTGTGTGTGTGTGTGTGTGTGTGTGTGTGTGTGTGTGTAAGGAAGTAATTTTTGAAATTCCATGTGCTAAGTTAGGACAGAAGAAGAAACACGCTGGCCCGTCATTTCTTCCTATACATCTCTCCTTAGCTATGTGCAGAACTAATCCAAAAACACAGCCAGAAATCTGTCAGCTCGAGGACGGTTGCATGTGGCTGATAGGAAACAAAGAAATGCTGGTCACCCACTCTGGTGTGGCCAGGCATAATGAGTTCTGCCAGTGTAAGCTGAGCTTGCATTTAATGGGTGAAGACAGTGGAGCCAGCACTCAGGGAGTGCTTGTGCATGTTCAACCCTTTGCATGAGGCTCCGTCTATAAGCTCCTCACACCCTCTTAATGAGGGAATGGTTCCTGTCCCCATTTTGCAGGAAATGAAAGCTTAGAGAGGTTTGGCAACTTGTGGCAGAGAACTCAGTGATGAGTGGGAGGTGTCTCCAATGCCAAACCTCACCCTCTCATCATCAAGGGTGGCATGCACTCAAAAGCCCTCAGATAGGGCTGGGGAAATAGCTCAGTAATAAAGTGCTTTGCCCACAAGCATGAGGACCTTTCGAGTCCCAGCAGGGATGGCTTGGCATGGCAGCCTTCGCTTGTAATCCCGATGTTAGGGAGGCAGAGACAGGCACCTGAAGCCTGGGGGCCACCAGTCTCGCCTAATCAACAAGCTCCAGGCAGATGAGACCCCATCTCAAAAAGCAAGGCAGAAGGCACTTGACTAGCGGTCCTCTGGCCTCCACACGAGACACACACACACACACACACACACACACACACACACACACCAAACTCCACAACTACACAAGGGCTGGGGGATCTGATTTGAGGTTTTGCTCATTATTAAAATAGGATTTTGGAGCTGGGGAGATGACTCGGGGAGTAAAGCACTTGCTGTGCAAACAGGAGACCAGATCTTGTGTCCCCAAAATCCATGATTTAAATGTAGGTGGAAGGGCTGGAGCGATGGTTTAGCACTTAAGAGCGCTGGCTGCTCTTGCAGAGGACCCGGGTTCAAATCCCAGCACCCACATGGCAGCTAACAACTGTCTGGAACTCTAGCCCAGAGGAACTGACACCCTCTTCTGACCTCCACGGGCATAACACAACAACCCAGCTCCCACTGTCCTGTGAGCACATGAGTCAGACACTCGCACATGTAAAATAAAAATATGAATATTTATTATATGACTAGAGTAAGTGGAGAGTGATTGAGAGGACACCCATATCAACCTCAGGTGTACACCACAAGTGTACAAACACAACTAGGCAAAACACACATGCATTTTATTTAAAAAAATAGGATTCATATTAGATTGCTTAATCCCCATCAAATTGCCACCCCCAGAGTCTTTGAAATGTTTACTATAGATTAAGCTAAAGTCAGTGTTAATATCAAGAAGAATTATATTTCAAGTTAACATAGTATGTAATTATAATTAATGGTACCTGAATGCTAGCAAAGGTTTTTTAAGAGCACATTATACTGCATTCTGGAGCTGCAACTCAGCCACTCCAACTTAACAGCCACGCTCTGGTGATCCTGACCTGGAACCAGCTCCCAGGCACAGCTCTTGCCCAGAGAGCCGAAATTCCCACTGCAGGCTGTGCTGGTCCAGCTTCCAAGCTCTAACCTCCACCCTTTCCCTGCCTCAGAAGCTGCCTCTAGCTCGGTGCCCTTCCCCTGAACCCTTCCATTCAGCTCAGCTGCCCAACACAGGATAAGTGGGTTCTCTGAGAACCTAGGGGCAGTTTCTTCCTAAAGATCCACTTCCTGTGTGGTCTGATTTACGGTTAGTCTAGTCTGCATCTCTGATTAACTTCTATCCTGAGCATGACAGAGAGGAGAAAAGAACTCAGAAGAGGCTGAGCAGCTGTTCCATCCAGCTGTCAGATTCCCACCACAGCCTGTGCTTGACAAACCACCTGCCTGTGACTTCATTTTGGAGGATGAGGGAGGTGTATATGAGCTACTTTTCAGAGACCCCTAAGTTCTGCAATATCCCCTCCCCTAAAACTTGAAGGGTATTCACCAAGTCTCCTGGGTGATCAGCAGTCAGGCTTCAGAGACTGTGGGAATGTCTTCTGTTACAAATGGAAAGTTTACCTACCCTTGCAATCAAAATTAATCTTTTGTTTTGAGATCATTTAACACTATCTCAGCTTGTTTATATACTTTAATCCCTCGTGTGTGTGTGTGTGTGTGTGTGTGTGTGTGTTGTAGAAATATCAGTGCAGAAAGTATCATTGGCAACAAGGAATTATCCCTGGTTTTGTTGCAGACAATAGGTGGGATTAGACTGATAACGTCTATTTGTGGTTGTGTGTGCTGTTCTGACTCAACAGTGGTCAGAAAGGGAAAATCCTGATAAGACAGGTTCCACATCACTTTCCCACGTCACGTGGGTTCAGTAAAGATGGGGCAAGGTCTTTGTTCAAGAGAACAGCTCTGAGAGAAGTGGGAGAGAGCAAGTTCTCAGAACAGATCTGGCTCACTCTTGGTTCTAACAGATGCTGCCTTATTGAGGCGCCTCTGTGTGGTGGCATGTCACCTCTGCAGGAGACCACAGATTTCCCATTCTTTTTTCCCTGAGTAGATTCGGAGAGCACTTCTGAAGTTGTTTTCTTTTGTTTTCACCAACCAGCTGAGTTGTGTTGGGGAATGCAGCAAGGCAGGGCGGGAAACAGGTGTAGCAAGCATAGTGGCACTCACCTGGTCCCATTCTCCAGCATGAAGCCGGTTAGACGGTAGATGTTACTGGACCAAAATGCCATATCATCCAGTCCTCCCAGGAAATACTCTTGGAACTGTTCCACCAAAAATGGGGACTTCATAGAGTACGTGGAGTAGAGCTACAGAGAAAGACAGAAGCCTAGGACATCGTGCTGTCCGCACAGCCCTTCAAGTCAGAATGCAGAAAAGCAACCCTTACCTTGGAAACAGCTACCATCTCCCCGTGCCTGCAAACAAATAATAACCCTGAGTTTCTATAGTAAAATGAAGCAAATAATGAAGAGAAAATTCCAGCCACAAGCATCTCCTCCCAGGCCCTCACAGAAGAAAACCCATAAATCCAAATTCCAGAACTAAAACACAAAACAGCATGCTCAGGAGCCACAATAAATCCACTGGGAATGTCCCTCTGGCTCCCACTTACATTTCCAAGAACTGGAGGTATGTGCAGTCAACAATGACATTTTTGGTGATGACTTTTTGACCATAGAGTTGATCATAAATTCCCAGAAGATCTTTGATGGGCACGTACCTGAGAGATGCATTAGAATGAAAGAAAGATGCTTTGGTTCTAAAGTTGAAACTGACAGTAACAACACAACAACCCAGCTCCCACTGTCCTGAGCACATGAGTCAGACCAGCACCAGTCTCTATACATGCTGCTTTCTGACTCTACCAATGGACCTTAGTGATGAATTCTGTTGTACTCCCTTTTCACATAAAGGGAAACTGAGGCACAGAACCAGCAAGTCATTTTCCCAATGATATAGCACAAAGACCTGGTACCATAACCAAATATTTATGAGAGGACATTCAAACACCAGAAACTGTACAAATAAAGACTCGGTTTCACGAATTCAGAATTCAAGAAATAATTCAAAATATTCTTCCTTTATAAAGCTAAATTATTCTTTAAAATCTTATCTATCTATCTATCTATCTATCTATCTATCTATATCTATCATCTATCTATCTATCATCATCTATATCTATCTATCATCTATCTATCTGTCTATCTATCATCTATCTATCTATCTATCTATCTATTTATCTATCTATCTATCTAT